TGTAATATGTTTTTCTCCGATACGATCCGTTTAATTGTCATCTGAGGATGGGATCACATGATTGCGATTTTCCAACGAACGATCTCACAACTAGCGAGAAGCGACCTTCGTGCGAGCGGAAAGCACAAAGCGCTAATGTAAAGTAGAAGTAATAAAAATTTTTTGTATTTTTACCCACTAAAGATGGCTCAATGCGGAGCCGAAACGTTTGGGTGATAATTATTATTGTTAAATATTTGTAATTTTAGCACTAACTTCGTGCAAGACTCACTAGCCCTTCATTTGATACTTCGTTAATTTTTAATTATATGAGCCAGAATAATATATTATATTTTTAAAAATTTAATTTGTTTTGTAATTGTTGGTTCTAAATTAGCGTTATTTTATTATTGTTGAAAAAAATTAATTTTTACATTTCCCTCCTGATGGAAGAGACCACCACCTTCTCGCGGTTTCCATTGAGCAACAATATATACGTTATAAAAGATAATTTCAATAAGAAAAATTACAAACTATAATTTTAAGAATTTTGAATATTTAAACATTTTAAACATAATAAAATACATTTTTATCAATAATACATATTTTTAAACAAAGAAACGTACATATTGGCCAAGAGTGGAAATTTGTATTTTTTAATATTAATTTTATTATAAAATTATATTGTGCTACAGCAATCAGCACAACTCGAGATTTGAGTCACTCGAGAGAAGAGTAACGCTGTGTATCGATCGGAGTCTTCGACTCGGAGCTGTAGCGCGAGCGAGGGATGGGGTGAACAACGTCACGCGGCTGCCTATCCCATCCAGTTGCTGTGGCTGTCAGAGGCTTTCGTGGCATCCCTGCCCGGTGGGCCCGTATCTCCATCTATCGCCAGGCACAGTCCTCGGCCACGCGGTGAGCCACAAAAGGTTTCCATCGTGAGGCGTGTCCTCGCAGCCAGCATAGGACCACCTGCGCATTCGTCCACGCGACAACGGGAATTGCCCTCTGGCCAAGCCCCCGCACCAGCCGATCCAGCAATCGGGCCAAGAGAACCGCGCCACACAGTTCCAGGCGTGGCACGCTCTGGGTCTTGATTGGAGCCACCTTGGTTCTCGCCGTCAAGAGACTCACCAGAACGCTGCCATCCCGCCTGGTAACCCGCGTATAGACCACCG